ACTACGAATTCCTTAAACATCTTCCTGAAAAACAAAAGATGAACATTTTACACATTTTCAATGTAGTTTGGTCTACAGGAACCTACCCTGAAAGATGGAAAGAGGTTCATATTATTCCAATTCTGAAACCTGGTAAAGATCCCACCTTACTTGAGAGTTACCGCCCAATTTCGCTTACCAGCTGTCTACTAAGTAAGTTGTTGGAGAAAATAGTAAACAACCGTCAAACACAACCGTGTTTGGAGAATAGAAACCTTCTCTCCAGATTTTAAGCAGGATTCCGAAAATTTCGATTGGTTTTAGATCCACTATCTTGTGTGGAATATGAAATCCATCCAGATTCGTCAAACAAAAACATCTGGAACATGAAATCCAGTCCAGCTACAGTCCATATACTGTCAACCTAACCGCCCGAATTATGATATCTTTTTCAATGACAAAATCCATGATTTATTCCTACAAAAATCAACGGCAACCAGACCAACAGGTACACGCATAAGAGAACAACGTATTATCCCAGATTCGAGAGTTTTCACGCTCGCTTTCCTGGAGTTCCCTCCATGGAAACTAGCTGATATATATTGCAACGTTTCGGGAAGTGAAATGTGGCATAAAGAACAACGAGGATGTGGACAAGGCAGCTAGAATGATTGCTAACTCTAACGAATATGAAGATGTACCACTCCACTTAGAAGATCTGAAGAATTTTAATAAAACCAAAGAAGAATCTGACTGGCAGACTCTATGGAATGAAACTAACGCGAAACTGAAATGCTCGAAGCCAAGTGTGAATAAGCGAATCTCACCACTGAAATTGACCAGGAAAGAACAAGTTGTTCTCACGCGTCTGCGAATCGACCATACAAAAATTACACACCTTTACTTGCTCCTAGGAGAACAACAACCTCTATGTACTACATGCCAAACAGTACTAACAGTACAACATACACTTGTAGAATGTCCAGAATATGAGGAAACCAGGAGACAACATAATATAACTGGGACAATGAAAGAAATTCTATGTGATGATAGACGAACGTTGATCAACCTTATGGCATTTTTGAAAGCCGCAAATATGATAGATGAAATTTGAAAAACAAACAAGTCCGCGGCTAATAACCTAGCAGTTGATACCGCAAAAAAAATAACAAGGTTGTGTAACCTTGTCATTTTAACCATTTATTAAACCAAAAACAAATCGAAAGATATTCATACGCTGAACTGCAAAAAACGAACATAACTAGATGAAATTTGACATTTGAAATAATTTACACAATAAGCTTTTGATAAGTACCATACCATGGCAACAAAGTAGTCTATTAAGACTTGATTGTTTAACAGATTACGGAAACCGAAATAACTATTTGAACACAACCAGTTTTGTGGAAAAATAAACAATATTCAATTGGATTGAGTATTATGTACCAAATCATGCATTTTGTTATCCGTTTTTTATGTTGAAATTTGAAACGTAAATCAAACATTATATTTCATATCGAGGAAACGGTTCATTAAAAGAATAATTATGTGACATGAAAGTATTTTATAATGATAGAAGGCAGTTGTACGTAATATCGAGACTAGGTTTTTCACTATTGACTGTGATTGATCGAACACGCCTTAAAAAAAAACATACCATAGACATTTCTTGAAAAAACTAATTTGAATTATTCAAACAGAAATAAGTAGATCAAATTGGAATTATATAAGTGATTTATTTATAACTTTAATTACTTCCATGTACAGAAGGTTGTACTTTATTTAAGATATATAAAGGAATACAGAAGCCCCAGCATACGATTCAGCAACTTACTTTCATCTTAGACTATTCTTGGAAATAATATTACGATCACAATATAGCAAAAAAATCATTCAAAATCAAAAACTTTATAGTGATTTTGGTAGTATTGAATTTGAAAAATAAATCGACTATCTTAATAATAGTAACGGTGAGAAAGCTAGATTGGCAAATCCTTTCAAGAAAAATTAATGATAAATATATTTGAAATTATCATCAGTTTATTGATTGTTTATTATTATGTTATTGTGAAAAACTCATTAAAAATTGAAAATTGTCTTTATCACTACCATTTGTAGAATTCAGATTCATATCTCCAGTTTATATTTCCAAAGTTCTAATGAACATTTCTTTCACATTCAACATGACTAGAGTACTTATTCTCCACGTAGGCAGACTTGGCACTTGGCAGACTGTATGGCTACACCTGAGAGACTATCTATCTTGTGACCTCTGCTCGCAAGGAGGCTGTTAAATACACACACACACATGTCCATTAAACATGAAGAACTTTTATAAACTTCTGAAGGAAAAAATGTTACGATCATTGTCTTTGCAATAATATTCCTCCTCCAATGAGTTTAATTTCACTCATAATCAAAACATCGATGCGTCCTTCAAAATTTCATTTCTATTATTCATAGTACTAGATATCGATTCACTGTCATTTTCTACAGGAACCAAACAACAAAAGGATTCTCCACATGATGCTTGGACGTCATTTATGGGTATCTGTTTTTTTGGACGAACAATGTGTTGATAAAATGTCTCATTTCTAATTAGTCACACATTTCTTCATAGTTACCTATGTTTGTGAAAGATATCCATATAGTCGATCAACTATATCGTCTGTCTTTGATATTTGCTGAATAATTATCGGGATAACTAGTGAAATTTATGAAGAAGAATGAAATATTTTAACGTTCAACAAGTTAACATCTAAATGAGATGAATCGTCTCGAACCCAAAGATATTTATACAAAATGGTGACCTTGACTTTCTCTCTCTCTCTCGCACGACTATTTTCACGAGTGTGTTACCAAAGAAAACGTAGTTTGTGTTTACGCGTGACTTGGCAGACTGTATGGCTACACCTGAGAGACTATCTATCTTGTGACCTCTGCTCGCAAGGAGGCTGTTAAATACACACACACACATGTCCATTTACACAAAAAGACGAGACTCTACGGAGTCAGCTAAGTCGACGACCAGAATTTAGATCAGGAATACAAGAAGGTGTTGAAAATGCGGATATCATTACAAGTGACAATACTAGAGTGATGTTGGTACTGGTATTCATGAGGTTGAGATAATGAATTTACAGGATGATATTTAATAACATACTAATATTCAACGATGTTATTTCTGGACCCATTTTGTGAAAATTCATGTATGAACATATTTTTCAAAGGTTTCAACTTTTGCACACCAGGGTGCTGAAGTCTCACCTTCTTAAAATCAGGATGCTGAATTTTTCAGAAAAAATATGTTTATGATATCGTTGTTATGACCAATTATTACTGTGTTTTTAGATTATATTTTAACGAGTGTTCAATGGTGCTGGTTTATTACTATGGGAAAATATATTCGGTCTGCAATACATTCGTGCCCGAGAGCCTTGTTTTTACCTGACGGAGTGCAGGAGCGTACTCTATAGTTTTCCCTAATACACTACACATCTCTTCCTAGAAGAAAATACTCGTTAATGAAAATAGTAAACACTAATAAATGTCAGTTTTTTTACAATGGAGTAAATCGTTCTGGAGATTTCAACTCCGTCTCCGCAGATATCTGTCGCTATTACTCTGGTCATTTTCTGAAATGTCGGTTTTACGGCCACTTGACTCTATCTCTAAACTAGCGTTTTCTGGCCTTGGTGGTAAAGTACCGTCGAATAATTATAGGTACTTATTCTCATAAAATATACCAGCTTCCTCTGTCTTTTCACTAATACAACTGCAACAGTTATTTAATCTTTTATTACTTTTGTGCCTGATATATTTTTAAAGTACTTCTACGGGGAGACAGACGGAAGCACATTACAAGCCACCTGCGCTTAGGCTGCTTTCCTCAAACTCCTAGTGGCCCTAACCATAATATTAATAAATTGTATATTAACATATTCCAAATAAAATTGAATTGAATTGAATTACCTGGTTTATTAGCAGATGACTGGGGACCTCGGTCATTGGCCTTGACTTTTTTCGCAGAGTTTTTTTGGATATCGTACTGGCTCGGGTAAAAAAAAAGCACTTTGTTTTTGTTCCGAGTTGATGCTTGGTTTGCGCATTTTTTGTCCGATTCAATAGGAGCATTGGTGGTCTGATTGTGGGCAAAATGATACTTCTATATGAACACTGGATTATACAAAAAACACTTTTTTCTACTCAGTTTGTATTCCAAACATCCGTTATGGAATTGAATCATATCATTCATAGGATTCCTACACAATATACTAAATACTAAATGAAAGGTAAACATTTCACTTATATGGAACACCGTCATCCTCACTGGTAGACATCGATGTTTCGCCGCAAGATGTTTGCCTTAGGTCTCTTTATTAACAATCTGTATAACATTATAAGAAAAAACACACAATTCATTCATAAATTATGAATTTTTTTCACGGAATGAATTGAGTCTATTCATGTTATCGATGACAACGTAATGACACTTATTCGTTATTTGATTAAATCCCAACCAAAGGAATCTTGTTTAAATTGAAAGGGTTATATTTTAAGGAGTGATTAATTTTTTGAAAAAAAAAGGTTTTTGCTTTCTACTGCTCCATTTTGATAAAAAGAAAATTGGGAATCTTCCAAAGAAAGGGAGGAAAAACTGTTGCAAAAGAAGTAACTTTATACATATATGGTGCAAATATATGCAAATATCAGACACAAACTACTCATTTTTTATCTTTTTCTTGTTCGAGAAATTTTATCAATTTGCATATACACCCTTTCTAGATGTGTATAAAGTTCTCCATTACAATTTTCATATTTTTTCAGTTTGTGGAAGGTGAAAAATACCCAAAGAAAGCCGATAAAAAACTGATTTTCCTTCACGAAAAATAACTTTTTTAACACTACAGGACAATGTCGTCTTGAAAGTTTTGTGAGTTGTAGGAATACATGATTTTAAATAGAAAATTAGAAATAATTATTTGATTGTCAGCAATTTGTAATATTATTTTATTTTTCAGGGGCTTCAGCGTAAGCGTGTGCGAGCGACATCATATATTCAAACCAGTTTCGGTGCAAGCTATGTGGTAAGGAAATATTATTTTATTTACACATCCTGACCTTAGTGACCTTACTTCTAGTTTCGATTAAGGAAATCTACTGGATTAGTTCACATACAATATCCTCCAATGTATATCATTTTTCAATCTCAACTGCATACCGAATATAATGATTGAACATAGGTTATTTCACTAACTCCCGTTATAAAACTTTTTGAATTGACATTTTTCTCACTTTCACACCAATCCATAACATTTTCAGCTGCAATTATCGAGATTGGTCGTTACTGACATCATGAATATAGTGAATGAAATAATGAATACGATGTCGGCATGCCTCTTTTGTATCTCGCAAAACACCCACCATCCTAACGACTCGTATATAGTATCGTTAGTGCAATTGAAAAAAAAATCGCGAAGGCGTTCGTTGTAGTAAATCGACACATAATAAAGGTAGGTAAACGAGTCGTTGAATAGAAGATGATTGGTATTCGCGCACCGAGATGAACTCGACGTAATTTACGGTGTTGTTAATAATATCTATACTCCAAATTGACCACATTCAAATGGTTTTACATGTTACAGGCATTTTATGATTGGCAACACTGGAATTTAACATATAAATTAGAAAGAAGATGTTAAAAACATTGAATTTTACCGCGTTCAATAAACTGATTTAGTGTTTGGGCTTCTAACATCTAAATCTTGTGCATGCAAAGATGATATTGCTGATCATATGAAAATGACTACTTCAACTGTAAATAATAACACATCGGTTGTTGGCATTTTTATTTATTTTATTGTAGTAACAACATAAAGAATAGTGATACTTGTGAAGTTTAATGTCTTTTCAGTATCATAGGATGAATGAAATCAACTTCACGTTTCAATAGATAGAAATGCTATACGACAAAAATACTAAATTAATTTATCAAATTCGGTGAAATTTAAAGTTTTTCAAATACAGTAAATACAATCAATAGTTAATTAATATTTTGAGAAAAATATTTCTGGTACAACTCGTAGTGCTCACGAGATTTTGAGTATATAGATAGGTATTCACGAATTCCAAAAATAAAACATTTTTCAAAATCTATTATTTGAACTTTCAATTCCCCATTTGAGAAACCAAGGTCAAATTTATTCTTCGTTCTTTGAACTGTGGCCATTCAGCTGTCTGCACGATTCCTTTCACCTTAGCTTGGGTAGGCTGGTCCACGGTGGCATGTTTTGCAAAGGCTTTTGGGGGGTTTTAGTTCCCCTCATCCTAGGTTTTGAGTTATTAACTAAACTAAAAAATGCATTTTTTTTTCCTTTTCATTTGTTGATAACAATTGCAATTTCTTATTTCTACACATCATTCTCTCTATTTAACACGAATTTCATCTTATGAACTATAAACGTGATTTCACAAATCTCCAAAACATATTCATACAGGGTGGCCCGTCGAAAACAAACCTCAAACCATTCAAATCCGAGAGAGCGGGCATTCAACCTCTTTTTTAATAGGTTGAAAAAGAGTTAAATTTGCTTCGAAATGACACTTCTGTATTTTAAATTTGAGCTACGCACTAAGGAGGTCATGCATATGAAAACTCTTGAAAATATATGATTTTTATTGTTCTAGATTCAAAAATAGATGCCGTCCGTTTCTATACCTACAGATACTACTAATTAAGACTGGGATCTCCCTTAAACAAATACTATATATGATTGCTATAGACCTCTCCCAAAGAAAATCATTTAACGGCATTATTGCGTTCGACCAATTCCTCAATAAGTAAATCGAATTGAACAGCTGCATATGAAACTGGACGTTAAAACGATAAATGTTATTTTTCCATAACTGAAACATAATTCATCCGTTAAAATATTTATGATTACGTAACTCAAGTGGTGCTGAAGTAACCGACCAAAGACAATACATAAAACAACATATGTCGTAAATACATCACAAGTGCATGAGATTCTATTACGCAATGATTATACAACTTGTGAATTTCAACGCGTATGGAATTACAAAGTACCGCTGACAACACAATTTTTACTGATTTTTCAAAGGTCATTTGATTTAGAAATAACAAAGGAGGTGTGAAATTCAAGATACCCAATAATTACTAGCAGAATTTACATGAAATCAAGAAATCATATGATAACAATAAGTAGTGATTCAACATCACCACCGAGAATCAATATTTTTTGTTTCGCTGAACAACTTGTGAATTACTGTTAACTTTCATTAATCTCACTTGAGCTTGATTTGAGATAATGTGATTTATTTCAAGTTGTTGATGCAATTATTTTTTAATTTAGAGTTTTTCTCAGCTGAGGAGTCTTTATAGGGTGATTGCGAATAATTTGCAGAATTTAATGAGGTTTTGACATTGTTTCTGATTATTTTTATGTTTTCGTGGGGTAGGTACGCTTGGGAGATACAGTTAATAATTGAATAAAATCATTTGAAAGCTGCATTTGTTTCAGTTGTTTTATAGATATCACTTCAGTCAATGTTTTTCAGTAAATGTGCAAGTTTTTTGTTATAATAAATTGATGGATGTAGCCGTTACTATGTGGTAGGAGATCATGATTAAAAGAGAAATGAAAATTTGGGTATGATTACGTTTTTCAATCGGAAACGAGAGTTTTAAAAATTGCGCGCATGGTTATTGTACTTGAGATCAGTCTTTAAGAGAATGTTATTGCAGAAGTTGAGGTAGTTCTTATTGGTGTGGGATTTTCAATAGTTATATTCAGATCGTACATTTCGAATTTTGATTGAAAATCGGTCAAATTTTTGCTGATATTGAAATCTCCCCGTGAGACTGTGTAGTTTTTAAATTCATTTGGCAATTCATTAGGCAGATCATGTAGACCATCTAAAAAATACCATACTCGTTTGCTGGGCTTCTGTAAACAACAATTTAAAGTTTCAACAACAATTGTATGCATAGGTTATTACACCACTATGCGTACAGTGTCACACATAAAGTTCTTGACGTACTAAAGTTTTTTTATTGATAGATATAATGAAAATTTGACTTCGTAGTTAGTTTGTGCTTGAAAAATTAGTCTCTTTCCCGTTGTCATGTGCTACTCTAAATCTGTCAAATTTGAAATCCTCAAAAAACTGTTTTTTTGTAAATTTCGAAATATGCCAAATAAAAATAGCTCAGTTTCCAATTTTATACCCTTGCTCGAAATTTAGACTCTATTGTCACTTCCACTTTTTTCAATTTTTTTAATTTTTGGAATCCTTCACATCGATTCGAACGAAAAATGATTCAAATTTCATAATTTCGATGAATACGAGACTACAATGTCACATTTTGCCCAGAAAATACCCGCATTGATCTGTTACCAGAAAAAGAAATTCGTCTTTGTCGTTGCAAAGTTCATCTAGTTTTTTCATTTCATTGTTGAACTGATTTGGATTTTAAATATATGGACATTAATATGTCGGTAATCGAATAAATGTATTTGTCTTCATTCTTATTACATACGTATTCCTTTATTTAGCAGATTTGTATCCCATTAGCTGCAGATAAGTTCGAAATATTTTGATGCAGTTTACACCCAACAGTGTGACTTTTGGATGTAAACTGTTAGATGTAGTTATCGAGCAAATAATAACGCCTCTTGAGTTAATTTCATAAATCTTATATTGTTTATTCTCACCATAAGATGTGTAAATAACATTAAACCAAAATAACTTTAACCAAATACACAACAAAATATCATGACATTCATTGATTTATCTCAATAATCTTATAAAGAACCCGAATTCATCATTCAGCATGCCGTCCTTACCGTTCTATACAAATTATAGTTCTTTCATTCACAGACTTTGTGGCATTTTTAATAAATAGGGGATTTAACTCAGCACAACACTTCCGAATGGTATTCTCTAAATGTCCTTTCTTTGCAAATAGAGCACAACACTCCCGAATGGTATTCTCTAAATGTTCTTCCTTTGCAAATAGTATGTGCTTATACATTTTTTGTTTCAGGTAACCCCACAGAAAAACTCCGTCGAATATAAGTCCGGTGATCTTGGTGGCTAATAATATTTCCAATCTTGTCCAATCACTTTGCCCCTAAACATTTTTTCACTTCTACCGATTGGTGGATCGGTGTCCCGTCAAACTAATACCACACATTTCGTCTAACACTCAGAGGTAGATTATCCAAAACTTCAGACAACTGATTCATAATGAAATTTTTGTACATGTCTGCACTCAAATTTTCTCAAAAGAAATACCTTGATAACCCACACCATACATTTGTCTTCAATGAATATTGCTCACTGAATTCTATTACAAAATTTGGATTATTGTTGGGCCATCAGCGACAATTTTGGGAACTAATTGTTCCGTTCGACGTGAAAGTTGCCTCGTCTGTTCGTAAAATCCTGTAGGGATTACCTTGGAACCAAAATGAAAGTCCTACTCGAATATCAAAGAGTGTGTATGAACTTTGGCTTATGGGTAGGTTAGGTTCAAAATGTGTGGGTCTATCCGATCCTCCACCGCAACCCGCAGGGTTTATTGTGGCTCACCTATCCACACTCGACCAAATGAACCCAGCTTCTTATCGAAGCCGATTATTTTGTATGGTGAGTGGTCTTTCAGGTCAGATGATAAAAGTACGGCTCGGCCGAACTCTAAAAACCTAATTTGGTCCCCAGTGGGGCAGGCACAAAGTGTGTGCTCTGCTGTTCCATCATTTTCTAAACAGAGGCGACATACACTGTCTTCCGACAGTCCTAGTCTCTGCTTATAGGGATGGAATTTATTTTTGTGCAAAATTTTTCTCACAGTTTTTCTGCCAACCCCTGTATCTTCACTAATACTCCTAATATTATTTTTTCCATTTTCAACAACTCTCAAACAAACACTGAGTTCATCTTCATTATACTTTAAAGGATTATGTGGTTTTATTAAACGATTTTCCACAGAGCCAGTTTCTTTGAATGTTTTCAATATCGTTCCCACACTACTAAAGTGAATATTTCTTACCGGTGATTGAAA